CATTATGATCCATTCTGAGTTAATTTTTGTATAACATCTGAGGGTTAGTTTGAGGTTTATTTTTTTGGCTATGGATATCCAATTCCTCAAACATAATTTGTTGAAAAAACTATTCTTCTTCCATTAAATTGCTTTTATGTCGTTGTAAAAAATCAGTTGGCTATACTCATATCGGGCTACTTCTGGGTTCTCTCTTCTGTTTCACTGATTTATGTGACTGTCTCTCTGTCAATACCACACAGCCTTGATTACTATAAGTCTTGAAATGGACAGTGATTTTCCCAGCTTTCTTCTTCTAGTTCAAAATTGTTTTATTCTAATTCCTTTGCCTTTCTATATAAATTTTAGAACAATCTCATCTATATCTAGGAAAAAAAGTCTTATTGGGATTTTGATAGTAATTGCATTAAATGTATCTACCTGGGAAGTATTGATATCTGTACTATGTCGTCTTTCAATCTACGAACATGGGTGAGCTCTCCATTTGTTTTGATCTTCTTTATTCCATTAGTGTTTTATAGTTTTCAGCATACACATCCTGTACATGTTTTGTTAGATTTATACCCAAGTTTTCTGTTTTTTTGAGCAATTATAAATGGTATTGCCCTTTAAATTTTGGTCTCTACATGTTCATTTCTAGCAACTGATTTTTTTATGTTGATCTTGTATCCTGTCACCTTGATGAACTAACTTATTGGTTCCAATTTTCTTGTAGACTCCTTGGGGTTTTCTATGTAAGCTATCAAGTAATCTGCAAATAGAAAGTTTTATTTCTTCCTTTCTGATCTGTATGCCTTTTATTTCCTTTTATTCACTTACTGAGCTGGCTAGGATTTCCAGTATTATGTTCAGTAGCAGTGGTGAGAGTGGGCATCCTTGTCTTGTTTTTGATCTTAGGGGGAAGTATTCAGTCCTTCACCATTAAGTATGATGTTAGCTATAGGTTTTTAAAATAGATGTTCCTTATTAAGTTGAGGAAGTTTCCCTCTATTCCTTATTTTTTGAGAGTTATCACGAATGGGTATTGAATTTTGTCAAATAATTTTCTGCATCAATTGATAACATTATGTGATTATTCTTTAGCCTATTAATGGGATGGATTAAATTGATTAATATTGAACAAGCTTTGTATCCCATTGGTCATGATGCATAAATCCTTTTAGATATCGCTGAATTCTATTTGCTGGTATTTTGCTGAGGATTTTTGTGTCTATTCCGTGAGAAATGACATGTGCAAAGACCTGGAGATAGAAAACCAAAAGGGAAGAACACACTCCGCATTTCTCAAGCTAAAAGAACTGAAGAAAAAATTCAAGCCTCGACTTGTAATATGGAAGGATTCTAGGGGAAAATATTAAATGACGCAGGAAGCAGCAAAAGAAGATGGAAGGAATACAAAGAATCACTATACCAAAAAGAATTGGTCGACGTTCAACCATTTCAGGAGGTAGCATATGATCAGGAACCGATGGTACTGAAGGAAGAAGTCCAAGCTGCACTGAAGGCATTGGTGAAAAACAAGGCTCCAGGAATTGACGGAATATCGATTGAGACGTTTCAACAAACAGATGCAGCGCTGGAAGGGCTCACTCGTCTATGCCAAGAAATTTGGAAGACAACTACCTGGCCAACCTACTGGAAGAGATCTATATTTATGCCTATTCCCAAGAAAGGTGATCCAATCGAATGCGGAAGTTATCGAACAATATCATTACTATCACACACAAGTAAAATTTTGCTGAAGATCACTCAAAAGTGGCTGCAGCAGTACATCAACACAGAACTAACAGAAATTCAAGCCGGATTCAAAAGAGGATGTGGAACCAGGGATATCATCACTGATGTCAGCTGGATCCTAGCTGAAAGCAGAGAATACCAGAAAGATGTTTACCTGTGTTTAATTGACTATGCTAAGGCATTTGACTGTGTGGATCATAACAAATTATGGATAACATTACGAAGAATGGGAATTCCAGAACACTTAACTGTGCTCATGAGGAACCTGTACACAGATCAAGAGGCCGTCATTTGAACAAGGGGATACTGCGTGGTTTAAAGTCAGGAAAGTTGTGCATCACGGCTGTATCCTTTCACCATACCTATTCAATCTGTATGCTGAGCAAATAATCCGAGAAGCTGGACTATATGAAGAAGAATGGGGTATTAGGATTGGAGGAAGACTCTACCCACATGACATAACCTTGCTTGCTGCAAGTGAAGAGGACTTGAAGCACTTACTGAAGAAGATCAAAGACCACAGCCTTCAGTAAGGATTACACTTCAACATAAAGAAAACAAAAATCTTCACAAGTGGACCAATAAGCAACATCAAGATAAACAGAGAAAAGATTAAGGTTGTCAAGGATTTCATTTTACTTGGATCCACAATCAACACCCATGGAAGCAGCAGTCAAGAAATCAAAAGACGCATTGCTTTGGGTAAACCTGCTGCAAAAGACCTCTTTAAAGCGTTGAAAAGCAAAGATGTCACCTTGAAGACTCAGGTGCGCCTGACTCAAACCATGGTGTTTTCAATCGCCCCATATGCATGTGAAAGCTGAACAATAAGGAAGATCAAAGAATCGACGCCTGTGAATTATGGTGTTGGTGAAGAATACTGAATATACCTTGGACTGCCAAAAGAATGAAGACATCTGTCTTGGAACAAGTACAACCAGAATGCTCCGCAGAAGCAAGGATGGAGAGACTACGTCTCACATACTTCGGACATGTTGTCAGGAGGGATCAGTCCCTGGAGAAGGGCATCTTGCTTGGTGAAATGGAGGGTCAGCAAAAAAGAGGAAGACCCTCAACAAGATGTATTGACACAGTGGCTGCAACAATGGACTCAAGCATAACAAAGATCATGAGGATGGCACAGGACCGGGCAGTGTTTCGTTCTGTTGTACCTAGGGTCGCTATGAGTCGGAACTGACTTGATAGCACCTAACAACAACCATGAGAGATACTGATCTCTCATTTTTTTTATACGCTTTGTCTGGTTTTACTATAACACTGGCCTCATAAGATGAATGAAAAAGTGTTCCCTCTTCTATTTTCTAGAAGAGATTGTGTAGAATTTGTGTTGATTTTTCTTTAAAGGTTTGGTAGAGTTCCCCAGTGAAACCATCTGGGTTTGGAGATTTTTTTCCAGTTTTAAAATGATGAATTCAATAGCCTTAAAATTTACAGAATTTCGTATTATCTATTTCCTCTTAGGTGAGTTGTGGTACTTAGTGCTTTTCAAGAAATTGGCCCATTTCATCTTTTAATAATTATTTACGGTATTCTCTTTTTGTCCTTTTGATGTCTGTAGGGTCATGATATCCCTGTTTCATTCCTGGTATTTGTTATTTCTGTCTTCTTTTTTTCTTTGACACTCCTGCTAGAGGTTTGTCATGTGTATTGAACTTTCCAATGTTTACCAGTTTCTTTGCTTACCATTTTTTACTGCATCCTGTGGCAGGCACTGCTGGCTGTCATCCCAGCATTCTTTCTACTCTTCTCCTTTCTCATGGGACCTCAATTTCTATTATGGTGGCAATGTGCCCAGCTTAAAATATCTTTACTCCTCACATATCTTTGCAGCTAGGAATGGCCCTGTGACACAGTAATGGCAGATCAGATGGGGCTTGCCTGTTCCTTTTGCTACCCCTCCCCACCTATACTTCAAACCTGGGGGTGCAGAGGTCACCACGAGGAGCCAAGGACGGCAGCTGGGGAGACAGAAGGGATTCACATCCCTGGTAACCTCAAGGAACAACTGCAGCAACCTGGACTTGCTAACACAGTAACAATAAACCACTTCTTGTTTAAGAGGCCGTTTGTGGTGACTGCCAAATGTAGTCCCGATTCTCACACAACCCACAGCCCCCTCCTGCCCATATCCTGTTCTTGCTGCAAAGTACTCTTTAGTAGTTCTTCCAGCAATGATCAGTGTGCAGTAAACGCTTAGTGTTATAAGCCTGAAAATGGCTCTCCTACCCTTATTCTTTATAATTGAGCAGATTGACACGTTTCCTTAGCACTTACGAAAGGCTGTTTTCTGGTATGTATTGTTGACAAAAAGTGAAACTCATTTCTTTGTAGGTAACGTCTTTTCTTTTTCACATAGCTTGTATGCTTCTTCTATTTATCCTCAATGTTCTAATGTCAACCATTGTCGTGAAACCGCAGACATGGCCTTTTTTTTTTTTTTTTTTAATTCCACTTCATATTCAGTGACTTTAGGTTGTGAAGCCTGGAAATTTCTCTCTAAAAAACCGTATGTGTGAAACTCAGCATATATACAAAAGTGTATAAAAATAAATGTTTAGAGAGTAAAATGAATTCCCATCACTCAAGCCAAGAAAAAGAACATTATCAAAACCTCAAAGACCTCTTGTGGGGCCCTCTCCAAAGCTAACTTCAAGCCTGATGTTGGTCACCACCTTGCTTTTTTGCGCCAACTTGATCACCCATGTGTGAATCCTTAGAGAGTATACTGTTTACTCTGCCTGTTTTGGAATGTCATACAAACGGCTCATACTCTATTTTTTCTGTGACTTGCTTCTTTCAAGAGCTATCCATGTTGTACATAGCTATAGCTCATTTCACTGCTATAGAATATTCTACTGTAAAAATTACCACAACTTATTACCACATCTAATTTTGATGTTTGTGTGTGCGCATGTGCTACTATGAGCAATGCTTCTGTATTTCTGTACTTGTATCCTGGTGTACACGTTCAACAGTTCTCTAGGACACCAAGAGTGGAATTGCTGGGTCACAGTGTGCACGTACTTCACTTTTCCAGAGTGGCTGCACCCGTTAACGTTCCCATGCGCACTGGGTGAGAGGCCCCATTGCTTCACAACACACCACTGTCCCTTGTCTGACATTACCCAGCCACCTCAGCTTTCTTTTGTTGTGTCTGTGCTTAATAGAGTGTTTTCAATCTCTGTCAATCTTTCTGTCTGGGCTTAGGTTTCTCTTTTAAACAGCATCAAACTGAGTTAAAAAAAAAAAAAAGATCAATCAGTCTAGTACATTGATTGTAATTATTGACATAATCAGATTCATTTATTTGTCCCACCTTTTCTTTTTCTCTGCCTTCTTTTGGATAATTATTTCTCATTTCTTTCTTCTCTGCCCCTCCCACCCCTCCACTCCCTCAGCTGGTTTGGAGGGTGCACACTCTGTTTCTCTCCTTTCAGGGATACCCTAGAAATGTCAGCCTGCCTACATACCAGAGTCTGAATCAGGGTCTTTTCCCTCTTCCCGAGTGTCTTCAAAAAAAACCCCAAACCCACTGCCATGGAGTCTCGAGTTGACTCTGACTCATAGCAACTCTATAGGACAGAAAAGAACTATCTCATAGGGTTTCCAAGGAGCTGGTGGATTCAAACCGCTGACCTTTAGGTTAGCAGCCAAGCTCTTAACCACTGTGCCACCAGGGATCCGAGTAAGCGTCTTACAGGCCAATCACCGCCCATCCCCTCTAGACTTACATACTATTGTTGTTATGTTTCTAAGTGTCCCTTGCTTTTCTTTTACTCCACAAAACATTTTTCTTTTATAGGGTTAATGCCTATTTAAATTTACACATTCTCTTCATTCCTTCTTATATCTCAGACTTTCCATCTCAGATTGTGTTCCTTCAGTCTGAAGATACCCTTTAGAAACTTTTTTTTTGAAGAATGCTTATTTCATTTTTTTAAAAAACAGCTTCAAGATGTAATTCACATACCATACAATTCACCCATTTAAAGTGTACAATTCAATGGCTTTTAATATATTCACAGATTTGTGCAACCATCTCCACAGTGAATTTCTGAACATTTTATTGCCCAAACTAGAATTTCTTTTAGTAAGATTATGCTGGTGGCAAAAGCCCTGGTTTTCTTGTACTTGAAAGATACTTTCTCTGGGTATAAAATTCTAAGCTGACAGTTTTCTTTTAGCACATGGAAAGTATCATTCCAATAATAATGGTTGCCAGTTGAATCGTCTTTCAGTTCAACTGTTGCCCCTTGAAAGGTAGTATGTCTTTTCTCCCTAACTAATTTTAAGATCTTTTCTTGCTCTTTGTGTTTTGCAATTTCATTATAATGTGTTTAGGTATGTGGTGGTTTTAAAACATGTCCACAAATTCTTTGATAGCTCTGCCTTCAAGGGTGGAGCCTAATTCTTCTCCATTTGAGTGCGGTTTGGATGTAGTGACTCACTTCTAACAACAGAACGTGGCAGACTATCCCTTCCAGACTCAGGTCATAAAAGGCTCTGACGCTTCCTCCTTGCTCTTATTCATTGTGGGGGAAACCAGCTGCTATGCTGTGAGAACACTCAAGTAAGCCCTATGGAGAGGTCCATGTGGCAAGGATTGGAGCCCTCCAGCCAACAGCTATGCGAGTGAGCCATCTTGGAAGCACAGCCTCCAGCCCCAGCCAAGCCTTCAGATGACTGCAGCTCCAACTGACATCTTAACTGCAACCACATGAGACCCTGAGCTAGAACTACCCAGGCTAAGCTGCTCCTTAATTCCTGACCCAAAGAAACTGAAATACTGTTTTAAGTCAATGAGTTTTGTTACACAGAAATTGATGATTAATACAAGGTAAAAAATTTTAAGTAAATTTGCTCATTGAGCTTTAATAAACATATAAAAAAATTACACAAATCCTATGTATACAGTTCCCTGAATATTCACAAAATATATCTAATTAATCACCACCCAGATAAAAAATCAGAACATTTCTTTTAATTTGTCCTGCTTCAGATTCACTGCCCTTTGTGAATCTGTGAATTGGTGATTTACTAAATTCTGGGAAGTTCTCAATCACTGTTTTTCCAATATTGTCTCTGCCCCATTTTTACTTTTTCCTCCTAGAATTCCAATCACATGCTATGCTGGATCTTCTCACTCTATCCCCTCCCATGTTTCTCAGTCTCTTGTTCATATTATTGATATTTATCTGCTGGGCTGCATTCTGGGTAATTTTCTTCAGATCTAGCTTCCCACTGTCTCTTCAGCTGTGCCTAACCCACACAGTGCTTTAAATTCCTATAATATTTTTTTATTTCCAGAACATCAGTTTGATTCTTTTGCTAACCTATTCCTAATCTCAAGACTCTTTTACTTCTTAAAACATTTTTAAACATTTAAATGCTATGACTGATAATCCTCATGTCTGAACTCTTTGCAAGTCTGATTCTATTTGTTATTTTTGATGTCCTCTCCTCTTGGTGCTTTGTTTATCTGGTGAATTTTTCTGGAAGCTGCTCATTTTTCTTGAAGTTTATCAGTGAGAAGTCCTTGAGGACTGAGATGAATAAAGGTTCAACTGAGTCAGATGTCCACTTTAAATTCCTGGCTTGAGGTTTTTCATGTGCAAACTCACAGGTGGGCTGGCTTGTGAACACAATTTCTCAAGGGAGACCCTTTTTCACTCCACTAAGTGGCAAGGTCCAATTTTCCTCTGGGATGCCAGGAGAGCAGATTTATATTTATCCACACAGGATGCAGCCCCTTGGAGTCCCAGCTTTATGGACGGCTCTCCTACTAGACCCTCATTTTGCATACGTCTTGAGTTGTCCTGACCCTGGCCATCGAGGACCCCAAAAACCAATGTTCAAGTTTACCCGGTTTGTCAAATACCCTCAAGGCAAAGGCCAGACCACGGCATTTTGCTGCCTCTTACCTTTTTGCCAAAGTAGTCCTTACTTACCAGCTCATTGCTGCATTTAAAAAGTTTTCGTTGTTGTTATTTAGCTGTTTGCAAAGGGAGGATCAGTTCAAGCACCTATTTTACCATGGCGCCAGTAACAACAGTAGTCAGCCAATACTTCTTCAAGTACCTTCTCTCTCTGGCTTTCTTTTCCTGGAAAGAAAGCTACTGTCACACTTCTCAATCTACCCCTTCTCTCCCTCTCTCACCTTTTGGATGACCTTCTCAGCTTTAACTTCCAACTCATTAATTCCTTCTTTGACTAAGTTATTATTTAACTCTTCTAAAGAGTTTATTTTAATGACCATATTCTTTACTTCTAAGATTCCTAATTAGTTCTTTATTATATCTAATCCCTGTTCTTGAGTTATGGGGGCCAGTCTCTCTTTTATTTCTCTGATCATAAAACAAATGCTCATTTTAAAGCCTTTTAGGATGTTACTGTTTCAATTTCCTCAGGTATAAATTCTCCCACTTGTTGGGCTGTTAGATTTTTGTTTAAGGCACTGGATTTTCTCACGTGCTTTGTAATTTTTGTTTGACAGCCCATCGTCCACGGCAGGTTTTTTTTCTCTTTCGTTATAGGAAAGTTTCAGGAGCCCTTGTGGTGCAGTGGTTAAGTGTTCGGCTGCTAACCAAAAGGTCAGCAGTTCACATCCACCAGCCGCTCCTTGGAAACCCTATGGGGCAGTTCTACTCTGTCCTATAGGGTCACTATGAATCGGAATCAACTCGACAGCAACGGGTTTGGGTTTTTTTTGTTTTTGTTTCTTTTTGTTTATGGGAAAGTTGTAGGACACCTAGGATTTTGTCATGGATTGAGTTGTGTCCCCCAAAAGTGTCTGTCAGCTTGGCTGGGTCATGATTCCCAGTATCATATGACTGTGTTATCTGATGTGATTTCCTTATGTGTTGTAAATTCTATCACCGTGATGAGGTTATACTGATGAGGCTGACAAGATTAGTGTCTTAATGCAATCTCTTTTGAGATATAAAAGAGAGAAGCGAGCAGAGACACATGGGAACCTCATACCACCAAGAAAGCAGTGCCGAAAGCAGAGCGCATCCTTTGGACCTGAGGTTCCTGAGCAGAGAAGCTCCCAGACCAAAGGAAGATTAATGACACAGACCTTCCTCCAGAGCTGACGGAGAAAGCATTCCCCTGGAGCTGACACCCTGAATTTGGACTTGTAGCCTACTGGACTGTGACAGAATAAACTTCTCTTTGCTAAATCCATCCACTTGTGGTATTTCTGTTAGAGCAACACTAGATGACTGAGACAGATTTTGGTACTGGGAGTGGGGTGCTGCTCTAACAGATACCTAAAATGTAGAAGTGGTTTTGAAACTGTTGAGTGGATACAGGTGCAGCAGTGGCAGAGGACCAGCCATGGCAGAGAAACTGCAGCAGCAAAGAAGGGGCAGCGACAGAGAACCAGCAGCAGCAGAATCAGGACACCAGCCCAAGATGGTGCTGGAGCCGACCCACAGAGCGAGAGAGCTGACTGCCTGTGCGCTGGAGGCTTCCTGGAGGAGTGGGGTGCCTTCGGTTACTTATCTGTGGAGTTCGGCTTGCTGACCCACAGAGCAAGGGAGCTGAGTTCCTGTGTGCAGGAGGCTTCCTGGAGGAGTGGGGTGCTTCCAGGCACTTAATCAGTAGAGCTACCAAGCTTTGGAACACTTGCCCCAGTAGGGCAGATGCGGGCGTGAGGCCCGAGGGCCAAAAGGCCACAGGAAGAAGCTGAAGAGACAAGGAACACAACAAGCCGAGCTGCCTCAGTCTCAAAACGTATGGCCAAGACCTCTGGGGTTTCAAAGGGTGGAGCCATGGCCCCTGGTGTTTCTAAGGCTGGAGCTGTCACTCCGATGGACTAGGAGAATGGTGTGCCTAAAGCCGAGGGAGCAGAGTTGCTGTCCCAGTGGGCCTGGAAGGCAGAGCTGAAGCCCAGGGCCGAGGGGCCTCCACTCAGAAGCCGGAGACTGTGGCCAATACCTACAGTCCGGAGGGCAGGGCTATTGTGTAAATTGTCTCAGAGAACAGAGGATTCTTTTCAAAGCCTTGAGGGCTAATGTAATGTGTTCTGCTGACTTGCTTGGTGCTTGTTATCCCTTCTTCTCTTCCAGTTTCTTCCATTTGTAATGGAAATGTCTAGCTTGTGCCTGTTCTGCCACTGTACCATTGGAAGCAGATTATCTTATATTCTAGATTTCACAGATGAAGAGGGATTTTTGGAATCTGGACTTGGAGTTAAGAATTTTGCCATGATATGAGATATTTTGCATGTTGCAAGGACATGAATTTTTGGGCGCCAAAGGGTGGAGTGTCATGGATTGAGTTGTATCCCCGAAAAATGTCTGTCAGCTTGGCTGGGTCATGATTCCCAGTATTGTATGATTGTGTTATCTGATGTGATTTCCTTATGTGTTGTAAATTCTGTCACTGTGATGAGGTTATCCTGATGAGGTTGACAAGATTAATGTCTTAATGCAATCTCTTGAGATATAAAAGAGAGAAGCAAGCAGAGACACATGGGAACCTCATACCACCAAGAAAGCAGTGCCGAAAGCAGAGCGCATCCTTTGGACCTGAGGTTCCTGCGCAGAGAAGCTCCCAGACCAAAGGAAGATTAATGACACAGACCTTCCTCCAGAGCTGACAGAAAAAGACTTCCCCCGGAGCTGAAGCCCTGAATTTGGACTTGTAGCCTACTGGACTGTGACAGAATAAACTTCTCTTTGCTAAATCCATCCACTCATGGTATTTCTGTTAGAGCAGCACTACATGACTGAGACAGGTTTTACACTCAGAAGCAGACCATTAACTCTCTAGGATCTCATACTATAGGAATAAGCCTACTCCAGTCCCAGAGCTGGTGGTAAGTGGGAGCCTAGCTGTCAGTCACCAGGTGTCTGGGTCCCTCCTTTGTTTACAACTGCAATCCCAGGTGCAGACCCCAGCTGTGCAGAGGCAGCCTGGCTCCAGTTCTGACATCTGTGAGCGTGCTTGGTCCTTGTCCCTTGTGTGAGTTAGAGTCCTGGCTTTGTCCCATTATTGCTCCTTGTAGCGGCCAGCCACCTACAACTTCAGACCTCACTCACAGCTACAAGTTTCTGCTCCTTTTCTACACGGGAAATCACCTTCTGAGAGTAGCTGAATAATAAAGCATTTTATTGACTGTGTGAGTGTGTTGGTCTCTGTGCATGCACTCACTCCACCTCCCTGACCCAAGTCCTCAGCATTGTCCACGAGAGCTGGGCCACTGTGTGCCTGGAACACAGCACAGAGGGAAAAACATATGGGATGACTTGCTGGATGGAGGACTCAGGTACTCCCTCTGCTCCACAATCCCCCCTTCCCACCCCAAATGGCCCAGACGATGAGCTTGCTTCATCTCTGGACTCACTGGGATGGAATGTCCAGGTCTGTGCCTGAAGGCTTTCTGGACACCACACACTATACTGTCAAAGGTGGACAGTGACCGATGGTGAAAACTGTGGAAATGGGGGTGAAGCACACACCCTTCTGAAGCACTTCACACAGAAGCTTTGCTTATAAAGAGGCTGGGGGAAGGAGGGGTGGTAATGGCAGGAGCAGGAGGCTTAAGGGGAAACCCTGAATGAAATGCAAGCATGTAGCCATCCTGGAGGAGATGAAATTCCAACTGGCTACGGGAATCTGGAGCCAGAGACGATGTGGGCAGTCAGTCGCCCTGGAGAGTCGGCTACACAAAGGGGGCTACTGGGCCTAAAGACAGAAGCTCGGGGGCCCAGGAATCAAGATCGCAACTGAAACCCAGACAACATCCTAGTCTGTACCAGAATATGTCACTCCTCCCCGGTATGGGGCCCTGTCCCAGGAAGACACAGTCTGACTGGCTGAAATGGGGAGAGGGGCTGCGTACAACTGGGCAGGGTGGAAAAAGGACAGTGCAGCAGGCCTCAAATCTAGAGCAGCATGGAGTTGAGGCCTGCCAGGGCACAGGGCATCCCCTTCACAGGTCCAGCTTCTTCCTTTTCCCCTTCACTGTGAGGGGCTCCACAGGGGAACAGAGTGGGAACATCTCTAGGCTATTCCACAGACCACTGCAAGGCCTAGGCCAGACTGTCTCTGTCATCTAAGGGTTCTGAGATAACCACTGCTGACCAAGGTCCAGCCAGGACCCGGACTCAGAAGGTCAGCCCAGGGCCCTCCTCACTCCTCCAGCCTCAACAGGCCCCGCCCAACAGAGGGCTTACTCGTATTAAGCACTGCCTCTGCCCTGGCTGGAGCCCTGGGGGCTCAGTGGTTAAGCATTCAGCTGCTAACCAAAAGGTAGACAGTTTGAATCCACCACATGCTCCTTGGAAACCCTATGGGGCAGTTCTACTCTGTTCTATAGGGTCGCTACGAGTTGGAATCGATTCAACGGCAATGGGTTTCATTTTTTTTTTTCATTTTCTGTCCTGTCTTGGGACCCAAACCCATAGCATCCCCAGGGCCCAGGAAAAATTAGATAAGTTTCTGCTATACACAGGGGTTTACTTGTCTCTATTTCCAGATATAAAAAAGTTCAAAATACATACACATGTATATACACAGGCACACCCAGAGTCACTGCTGGCTCTGCCCCTGCTCAGAGTGGTAGGGACCACCCAGGAGGCAAGGAGCTGACCTCACCCCCTGATGAGGCAGGCAGTCACTGCTCTGAAGCCAAACCGGAGCTGATGGCAAGCCCAGCCCACCCCTGCCCACCTACAGGGCTGGCCTGACAGGTGGGTCGGGGGACAGGGCACACCTCAGTCGGAGTCGCAGGCCTCCTGTTCGGCGGTGGCGTCCACTGCAGAGGCCAGGCTGTCGTCCTGGCCTTTTAGTCTCTCCCCTGGGAGAAAGGGCAGACAGGGTGGGTAGGGAGGGGCTCTGTGCTTGGCCACCACCCAGAGGACAGGGACTCGCCTTGCCCAGACCTGCACTTACGGATCAGCTCAGCGATGGCCCTTTGCGTCCGCTTTTCTAGCTTCTCCAGCTTCTTGGCCACATCTCTCTTAAGGTCCCTGGAGCAGGGAGGTGGGGGGAAACCAGAGGCTAAAGGCTGGCCTGAGTGTGGCTTTGGCTCTCTCCCCACCTGCACGAGGAATCTCATTAGCTGGCCTGAGGTGGTGCCCTGGGGAAGAGGCCAGGATGCTCCTCTCTCTCCCTGTCTGCACCCTCAGGAACCCAGCATCGGCCATCTTCTCGTTCTCACTGAGGCAGGGGACTGGCACCACAGCCCCACTTAACACAAGGGGCTGAGCCAAGGTGTGCAAGGGTGCATGCTTCCCTGGGGAGCCTCTTGTCTGGTCCCCTCAGTCACCATCAGGGAGCCTACCTTCCCTGGGCCACTGTGGGCCTTGCTCCTCCGCTAGCCACATGCTCGCCTCTGCCACCACAGGCCTCCAGAAGGGCACATGCACTCAGTCTGTTCTCTCTGGCTCTGGGTTTCTTAGGACACATGGCCCGTGCTTTTGTTTCATCAAACTAAAACACCCTCAGCTGGTGCTGTACTTGACAGTGTTAAGCTTCTCAGAATTACAGGCCAGAGGGATCTGACCCCTATCTCTGGCCCAAGGAAGAGTTAATAAAAAGATCCTCCCAGCCCACATGGCCCCTCTCACACTCTTTCTAGGCTCACAGGGGAACTGGAGAAGGATGAGCACCCTCATTTCACAGATGAGGAAACTGGCGCCAGAGGGGAGCAGGCAGAACTGGGACAGAAACTCATGTCTGCCCTTCCCACCATCCTGCCTCCACCCTGTGGATCTATGGGGGCAAAGGTCCAGGCTTGCTCAAATGGGGTTTTCTGGGATAGGGCAGGTCCTCATACTTCCAGAAAGAGCTTCCTGAGGGGATGGCCTCTCTCCCCTCTGCCTGAACCCCTTCCCCATGGCCAGCCCCTTCTGGCCTTTCAGATCTTGGCGTTCATGCCATCCCCCATCACTTCCCTCTCATCAATCCATTTATGTCCTTCTCAGCACTTATTTCAGAGTAATTATCTTGTGCAGCTACACGTCTATACCGTCAGTCCCCCCACTGTGAGGGTGGGAAGAGCCTGGCCTGAGGCCCATGCCTGGCACTATGAAGCCCCCAGTCAGCCTGCACCAGTCCTGCACGGGCAACACTCACCAATCAGGCTTCCGGGGGGCAAGGTTGGCCAGGTCCTGGAGGGAGGAGACATATGTCAGGGCCAGAGGGGCCTGACCCCAGGGGAAGTGGGAAGGCAGGAGACAGAGTTGAGAAAATGAGGAAGAGGGAGGAGGAAGAAGAAGGAAAGGAAGCAGGGAGGTGGGAAGGGAATAAAGAAGTGGAGAGAAGGAAGGAGGACAGAGGAAGAGCAGTTGGGGAAGGGGGAAAGGGCTTACAGAGGCAGTGAGGGATAACAGGGACCGCCCCTAGGCACTTACCACTTCCTCAATGACAGGCTCTGGCTTGGCGGCCTCCAGCTGCTCTTTCACCTTCTCTTCCACTAGAGGGGGCAAGACAACAACGGAGGCCTTTCGGAAAGGAGCTGCACACTCCACAGCCATACTGAGGCCACATGGGAGGGGAGCAGGGGGCTGGGTGCCTTTGCCTCCACCTCTCCCCTCAGCCCCTAACCAGCCAGAGGTGAATGCCCCTGCAAAGGCTACTCTAGAGGAGGGGCCTGGGTTTCCCAGATGAGGGCAATCCCTTGGGGTGAGGTAGAGATGGCAGGAGGCACTCAGCTGGAGTAGACAGAGCCCTGACCTCCAGTCAGGAAGCATGGACGCTGATGCCACTCTCGGCCTCAGACTCCCCAAGTATAAACAAGAGGGTTGCCCGGATATATCCAAAGTTGTATGGTTTTGTGAAGCGCCTTGTGGACTGGCTTTTCCTGGGCTCTGAGGGGGTCCTCTGGGCCTTGGGCTGGCCCTGGCCAAAGGTGGCTTTTCCTCTCCACTCTCAGGTATGTGCTCTCAGGATACGGCCACCTCCTCACTCCACCCCACTGCTGCACAGCGGGCCTCTGGGCAGTCTGAGCAAGAGGGCCCCGCTCCTGTGGACACAGAGGGGGTCTGGCAGGGCACTAACAACAAGTCTGGGCTCTGTGAGCTCTCCCAACTCAGTCGCACTATGCTCCCTCAGGGTCCTCCGTGCCCTGCCTCACCTCCCTCCAGCCACAGGGGTTGGCTCCAGGCTGCATCCTCACCCCGAGGCATCGGACCAGCTCCCTATTCCTTTCTCTGTCCTGCCTTATTGTCCCCCAGTGTGCCACTACCCCCACCACAATGGTGCCCAAAGCTTGAAGCAAGTCACCTGGTGTCATGGATTGAATTGTGTCCCCCCAAAATGTCTATCAGCTTGGCTGGGTCATGATTCCCAGTACTGTATGATTGTGTAATCTGATGTGATTTCCTTATGTGTTATAAACTCTATCACTATGATGAGGTTATACTGATGACGTCTACAAGACTGGATAGTGTCTTAAGCCAATCTCTTTTGAGATAAGAAAGACAGAAGCGAGCAGAGACACATGGGAACCTCACACCACCAAGAAAGAAGTGCTGGGAGCAGGGCGTGTCCTTTGGTCCTGAGGTTCCTGCACTGAGATGCTCCCAGACCAAAGGAAGACTGATGCATCACAAGGACCTTCCTCCAGAGCCGGCAGAGAGAGAAAGCCTTCTCCTGGAGCTGATGCCCTGCATTTGGACTTGTAGCCTACTGGACTGTGAGAGAATAAACTTCTCTTTGTTAAAGCCATCCACTTGTGGTATTTCTGTTAGAGCAGTGCTAGATGCCTAAGAGACCTGGGAAGCATATGAACCTCAGGGGTGGCAGAGGTGGGGAAGCAGACTGGGATGTGGCCAAATGGGAACTCTTATTTTTTTTACAAGGTAAATGTATTTATTCATTTATTACTTGTACAATTAGAAACAGATAACAAAAATAAAGCCTAAAAACTGAGAGCATCTCTGGGGCTGGGATCTACATGATTAAGAAGCTCTGTGGCACCTCTGGTGTGGACAGCTGTGGACAGGCCTGGGGCTAGTCTGACACTCCTGGTTGCTGTGCTGTTCCCCACACCACAGAGAGACTGTGCAGCCCCCTGGGCTGGCCCAGATGCTGCCCCTCATCCCACCGCTGGACCACCTCTCCCCATCATCTGTGTTCTGGTGCTGCCAAGCCTCAAGCCCAGTCTGCCTGCCCACTGCTCTGAGTGCCTGAATGGTCGGCCCCCGTCAGGGTCTCACTCTGACCTACCCAGGGCCCAAAGGACCCATTACCCTGCCCTGCTTCCTAAGGGTCCCAGAGCCACTTCCACTTCTCAGCCTGGAAGGCCGTCTGAGGGGTGTGGTCTCTCCTAGAGCCCCACATGGGCCCCTGGAAGGCCTCAAACTCAGGGCCTGAGCCCAGCAGAGTGGGCACGGCAGGTCTTCCCAGTGCCCTGAGAGCCTCTCTGCTGTCGTCAAGCCTATCTGTGCATCTGCTGTGAGGGTGACAGAGGGCTTCTTGGAGGCCCAATTTCCGGCCCTGGCACTGTCGGTTATTCTCTGAGGTGGATGCAGCTGACAGTGCCACAGCGGAGAGGCAGCCCACCTACCCGCAACTGGTTTGGCCTGGGGTACCCTCCTCTTCTTCAGGTCCTCATCCTCTGGGACATAGTTCCGCAGCCTGAGCTCCCTACAAGAGCAGAGAACAAGCAGAGGTGAAGTCAAGGGTGTGATATCATCTCATTCACCTCATACAACTTGCACATCTAAATGTGATTAACCCACATGAGCTGGTCACTTCCAACTCCCCTCTGGTCTCTCTACAGAAGGCCTGGTGAAGAGGGAAAAGTGTGGGAACAGAAGCATCATCAGGACAGGCCTCCCCCTCTGAGCCTCAGCCCCCCGCCCAATATGTCAATTAGCAGTTGGGCCGGCTGCTCTCGAAAGGCCCTGCCTGGATGATAGGATTTTGGTTCTCTCCCATTCGCTGGATGTCTCTCCTCAATCATCTCCACTTGACAGTTAAGACAACTGAGGGTCAGAGATGATGCCATTTTCCCAAGGTCACACAGCAGTGGTTGCAGGGTCTGACTCCAAGCCAGGCCTGCACTCCTGAGCTGAGTTACTCCTGAAAGAGGAGGTCAGTGATCCTGCCCCATCCCCCAAGCCCAGTCCCCTCCTCAGAGCCTTTGTGCCCTGGGGCCACTGCCAAGTAGTCCCTCAAATATGGATGGCAAGGGTCTAGGTGTGCTGGGTCAGGAGTGCGAGGTGGTGAGTGAGGAAGAGTGACACATGGACAGGCAGGCAAAGTACCTGCGGATTTCAGGCGGCACAGCTGCTTACAGCTAGTGGGGATGTGGAAGGACTCCAGGAGGAGGTGGCACCGGGCCCAAGGCCAGAGAAGACAGGGTCAAGGCACAAAGCAGACGAGAGGCTGACCCCACAGGACCCTAGGACTGCCGGGTGCGGCAGGCAAGGGTACGAGGACAGGCAGGATGGACTGCGAGGCTGGGAGAGCCTCGGGCCGCCTGGACAGTGTCAGAACTGCACAACCACCCTGGCAAGAGGTCCTTAAAATGCCGAGTCCAAGACCTCCGTGAAGGGGGAGGAGCCACGAGGGGCCAGAATCACAAGAGCCCACACGTGGGACCTGGGCCAGCAAGCATGTTTTTATTTCCCTCTCATCTCAGTCTCCCTAGGCAGGGCTGGCTGCACCTAGGGGTCACTGGGTGCCTCCCTGGCTTAGTGGCTCATCACACACTGGAGCCCTGATCTCCAGTTAAGAATCATAGACGCTACTCTAGGCCTCAGTCTCCCCAGCTGTAAAATGAGAAGGCTGTCTGGATATATCCAAACTTATAGATGCGCTAACCCACACACGCATAGAGCTTGCCAGCAGGAGGAGGGGGCCCTGACTAACTCCATAGGGTGAGCAGGGAGAGTTCCTGGGGGCTTCTGGGTTGAGTAAAGGCAGTTAGGCAAGACAGACATGCAGGCCTTGAGGGATGCAGAAGTGACCCCCATGTGCCAACCAGATAAGTCTAGGGTGTGGGGCCTCCTCCTTCCCCACTTCCTCTTTCAGGTCCTTTGAAGGACCACTGGCCCCTCAAAAAGTCCAGGGTCTCCGGGGCAGGGAACACTTTCCCAATAGGAGGCCTTCCACAGTGAGAGGCTCTGCACCAGGCAAAAGTATTTCCGACTCCCTCAGGCCCTGGAAGGCACTTTTTTCTCAGAAGGGACACAGCTGATGTCTGTGGCCACATGGCTGACAAGTGGCAATGCTCTGAACACTGGGCTTTCTGATGCCAAATTCAGTCCTCTGTTCATCAGCTCCACCTGACCCCACCCCTACCACACATCCCATCTCCTCTTCTCCTGCCAGGGTCCCTGTGGCCTAGACCCTCTGTGCCCGGGGCAGTACCAGCATCTCCCGTGTGTGGGAAGCCCATTCCACAATGTCAGGGTCTGCTTCCCCAAAGCAGCAGGGACAGACACTCGCCCTGTCGCCCCATCTCTAATGCTGCCTCAGGCCTGACGGTAATGGTCAGGTCACTGAGTGTAGGAAGGGAAAGTGGAGCAGATTTGGTATGCTTTCATTCACAAACAGGGTGGGGAGAAAAGAGGAAGAGCAACTCGGTGTGGGAAGAAAACTGAAGGCATTACTGAGAAAAAAAAACGTCCCTCTCAGAAACTAGCTCCAAGCTTCTATGAGAAATTGACAGGAGAGAGAAGAGCCCTGTGAGAACTATCCCCAGAACTCACAGCAGCAACAAGCACCCAGCCCCACCTTGCTGCCCAGCGCACTTCAGAAGACGAGCTGGAACAGGGAGGACAGAGCAGGGGGAGAAGAAGTGGTCAGAAGCAAGAGGAGAGCAGCAAGGCTGGTGGGCTGGCTGCACAGCACACCCCCTGCTGCCCGCTGACCCTTGCTCCACCCTTAGAACTGAGTGCTGGTCACTCAAGAACACCTGGGTCCTATTCACTGTGGTAATGTCCCACTCTGGGCCTCAGTTTCTACATCTGTAAACAAGGAAACTATGCTGGGTATGTGCAGCTCTATGAAGCTCTCACAAGCCCTGCCCTAACTCACTCTTTTAGAACTAATGAAGAGACTTTACCTCACTAACGCCCAATTAACCTGCTCCCTACCCCCACCCTACCCCATCGCCAAAGGGTAGGAGTCCTTGGAGGAAGTCGTGGAACTCTGGGCTCTGCTTGGGTGCCTGGCCTTTCTTTCCAACATGGGCCCCAGATTTAAGCCCCCTTCTGCAAACAACTTTAAAAAAAAAAAAAAAAAAAAACCCCTTGACAATACATAATTATTAATATATATAATTATAATACATATATAAAACAAACCTGTTACCGCTGAGTCGATTCCAACTCATAGCGACCCTATACGGCAGAGTAGAACTGTCCCATAGGGCTTCCAAGGAGCACCTGCTGGATTTGAACTCCTGACCTTTTGGTTAGCAGCCAAGCTCTTAACCACTATGCCACCAGGGCTCCATATATACATATGTATATGTCTGCATATATCTGTGTGTGTATGTATATATATATGTTGTCAAGTTTTTAATATATTTTAAAATATATTTACTGACCTTGGATAAGTACCAAGCCAACAAGGATTTGAGGGGCTGTAATAACAGAGAGATGGGAAGTTCAATAAGGTGAGCCTGACATTTGGCACCTTTTCTCCCTAAAGGCACTTACTTGCCTATTTGCAAGCAGTAGCTGAAAGGCTAGAGACTGAGCAGAGATTCTGGCTATCTTGTGGAGACTGTTTTGTGCTGGAGAGACAAAAATTAGTATTTAGGGCAGCCAAAGACCAGGGTTCTGGCAAACCCCTAGGCCTTCTGTTGTGACACTGCCCCATGCCCTACCCATCCTAAGAGTTGGGGTAAACTTAAAACAGACCACTCTTCATAAGGGCTGAACACAGCTGTGAATCAGCACAATCACTGACTGGCCTGCCCTTTGGCAGACAGGGCAATGTAACTAGGCACTGGTAAGACGAAGCCTCTTCATCAGTCCTGAAAGGGTGGGCTAGGGCACCCCTAGCCTAAATGCCTGCCAGAAACTAGAGTTAATTCTCTCAGGAGAAAAACAAATTACTCAGAACCTCAAATTATCTCTAAAATTTTTTATACATAATATCCAGCCTTCAGTAAAAACCACGAGAAGGAAAGAAAAAGACAACAGAAATGCATCCACAAAACATCCAGATATTAGAATTATTAGAAATGAAATTTAAAATAATTGCAATTAATAAAAGTTCAGGACAGTAGGCTACAAGATGGAGAATTTTAGCAGAGAATTGGAAACTATAAAAATTAATCAAATAGAAATTCTAGAACTGAAAAATATAAAACTGAAATTAAGAGCTCAGTAAGTGGGTTTAACAGCAATTTAGACAGAGCTGAAGAAAGGACCCATGAACTGGAAGATAGATCAGAAGAAAATATCCAGAATGAAGCACCGAAGTTGGAAAATACATAAAAGATCATAATAGACATATGAAACAGGGTGAAAAGATCTAACATCATGTAATTAGAGTCCCAGAAGCAATACTTGAAGAGATAGTGACTGAAAAATTTTTAAAATTAGTGAAAGACATCAAGCCATAGATTAAAGAGACACTATGAATCCCAAGTAGAATAAATTCAAAGAAAAGCGTACCTAGAAGCATTGTCAAAATGCTAAAAACCAAAGACCAGGAGAAAAATCTTAAATCAGATGACACAAAATTTTTAAAGGAAAAACTAAAACTGGGAGTTTACTTCTCAACAGAAACTGTGGAAGCCATAAGACAATGAAATGCTAACTTTAAAGTGCTGAAAGAAAATAAAATGCCCAACGAGAATGCTAAATCTAGCTAAAATAGCATTCAAAACAAAGACTTCCCAGATAAACACATTTGGGAGAATTTGTTGTCAGCGTATCTGTGCTTTAAGAAATACTAAAGGGAGTGCTTCAAGCTGAAGGAAAATGATCTCAGATGGAAGCACAAATCTGCAGGAAGCAATGGAAAGCATCAGAAAGGGTAAATATGTGCGTAAATCTAAATGAATACTGACTGTATAAAATAATGTCCTGGGGGTTTTAAAATATAGCTACAACAGCAAAAAAGGAAGAGCAGCAAAAAGTGCTATGAGGTGCTAGAGTTGTATGGGAAATAGTAAAAATACTAATTATTAGACTTTGATAAGTTTAGGATGCATGTTGCTGTTCCTAAGGAAACCACTAAAATAGGAATAAACAGTATACAACTAACAAGTTAACAGAGAACGGAAATAGAATGATTAAAAACAAACAAATCCAAAAGACAATCAGAACTGGGAGAAAAAGAAGACACAACCAATAGGAAAGTCAAGAAACAAATAGTAAGACAACAGATTCACATACAAAGCAGGCCCAGGCCGCCACCTTTGGGGCTTCCCATTGTACCACTGGGGCTACGACAGCTCTTAGAGACTGGGCAGGGCGAGACTACACAGTACCAGCCAAACCAGCCAAGGCAGGCCAAAAGCCAACACCTTACCAGCTGGCCAGGAAGCTCCGAGGCTGCCTGCACTCACTACACAGGCACTAATATCTGGAAGCCCACTCTTCTCAGGGCCACAGGAGCCAAATGATGGTTCTGCAACCCCTGTATCAGAATGAGGAGGATGCTGGGAGAGGAGGTCC